ACAGGTGTCTTCTTCCGAACGGTTTCCGAGATAGAGTTATTTCACTGTACAGTACACTGTACAGACGAGCAACACGCCATGTCCTCACACTAGTTGCACCGAGATAGAGCAATCTCACTGTACAGTACACTGTACACTGTACAGACGAGCAACGTGCCACGTCTCCACACGAGTTACAAAATGCATTGATGTTGACGGTAGAATTTTCGACAGTGTATTGTCACTTGTACTAGTGATTTTAGGCGAGGGTTTGGATTGGTGAGTCGATTTATTGAATATTCCCCATAAGGAAGTACAATTGATTCTAACACTTTCAATCTTACTGCAACTATAACACTTCGTAACTACGAACAATGATGACACTCTAAAGGATACCTTAATTACGCCATATAAACTAAAGACTTAGCTTCTTACTTTTGTGTCTGAGGTTCTGAATTTAGGGGTCATTCCTGGTTACAACTGCTCTTTGGGATCGCATTATGTTGGAAACAATTGTAATTTCCGTGGTGACCAGCCGTGTCTTTGTTTCGAGTGTACCTTCGGAACGTATGTAGCCAATGGTTGCCTAGCAATGGCTGACTTCGCTGCGGGAACAATATTTACCCAGCCGTTGGCTAGCAGTGGACGTTTGTTTCGACTCCGGTATCCCGGCGTTTACGCTACACGTCACAGTAGTATACTAGGTAAACTGTACCAACTTTGTCACTGGAACAGTAAATACTGGTATTAGAAACAGTACGTAATGTCTCTTTCTTGTCAACAATTTTAGAACCGTACAGTGAAATAGCTCTATCCGGGAAACCGTTGGGAATAGGACACATGTACATGTACATTTTTTGGTTTAAAATGACCGATAATATGACCTCCAAGAATATTGACCTTTCCTCCTGGGACATTATATATATATATATATATATATATGTGTGTGTGTGTGTGTGTGTGTGTGTGTGTCAAAGCGAGATAACAGAAAATTGTACAATATAAATGGTGATAATGCACGTGCAGACATGAAACTAAGACAGAAAGAAAGCTGGATAATACATGCAGCAAACCGAAACAAAAGCCAAATTCATGAACACCAATGCATGGGATTAATTTGAAGATTTTCGTGTTGAAACCTTACTATCAGCCGTTCTGCGGTGTTTCACAAATTAAGAATGGAGTCTCTACACTCTTCTTCTTCTTCTTTTTTGTTATAGGCTTAAAAATACAAACAAAGAAATGAACCACGTACGGACGTAAAGAATTCGTCCGCGTGGTCAACGTTTTCCTTCACCTCTTGTACGTCATTCTGACGTCAGCAGACGGACGTGAAGTATAAGGTCCGCGTTGTATTAGCATTTAAATAGAAGAATTGGTTGCAACTGTTTTGAGTGCCTGTTTGTTTAAAAGCTACTGCGCTCAGTTTGGTGTGGGCTCCACGAAGATATTCCAGGCCTGATTTCCTTTCAGAAAGGCAACTTAACTGCCTTGGAGATAATTGCTGAGTGTGTGTTTTCCATCTTTAAAGGAACAAAGGTAACATAAATGGTTATGAGCTGAGGGTCATTTTCTTGGATTCCCAAAATCTTCCTCAGACGTTCATAAAATCTAATGGCTCAACGAGTTATTTTTAAAATTATATTTTCTAGGTTACTAACCGTCAAAAAGACAGTTAACTCTGTAATTTCAAGCCATTTGCGGTGTTCGGGAATGGTTCATAGATTATGTCCCCTGATGGTATAGTTGCTTTTCATCGTAATGGAAAGGGAGAATTTTGAAATTATTCTGACATTTTTAATGGCGAAGGATAATATTGTAAACTTATTAACATTTACGCGTCATTTTCTTATATTCTGTAAAGTGCTATAAAATCCGGGAAGGTAAAAAGTTAACCCAGTTCTGTTTCTACGTACATCTCAGCACTGTTACGTGTAGAAATGCCAGAAGTAATTACCACAAAACACTTCTTTTCCTGTTAAGTACAGAATAAAGTAGGACATTAAGAGGGAAGTAAAAATGCAGGTGGTAGAATATAATTTCAGAGTGTAAATTTCATAGAATAATAATTTATTAGGGAGGGTAGTGGCCACTCACGAAAACACGAAGGCTAATACTGATCATTTACATTTCTGTTTATATATAAACGGCATAACTCTCCTTCTCTATTGGTTCTCTCAAAGCCTTCTATTTGTCACAGATATTTATTTTCGAGTCTTTCTATTATTCGAGATGATATTATAGTTATCATTCGTGCTTTATGTAAAACAAATATTTGTTTGTAATTTAAAAATAATAAAAGAGTCTCATCGATTTACGTTTACTTTACTGGTCTTTCGGTCGGTATATTTCGCTTCCGGACTAAAGCCACTGAGTTTGTTGTTGTTTTGATACTGGAAGCGCTTCGCGTTTGTAACAGCCTTTTTGTTCCCTTCATTCGTCTCACAAAAGACTTAACAGATTTTGATTAAATTTAGTTACATTGACCCTTAAATCATTTAACGACTTAATTTGATTACAGAATTTTTATAACTTTATATGAGACATGATGACGATCATGGATTGTGAATGAGTAGGGACTTCGAAGGAGACGGTAATGTTCTGTCATATGGAAAGACTGTGGAAAATTAAAAAAAAAATCGGAATAGCTGGTAACAGCCGGGATTCGAACCGGATTCTTTATTACAGAAGCTTCTCACACTGTCACTTAATTAAACCTTTCCATTCTATTTTTATGTAACGAAATATTTTAGTACATCTGCGTAATAATGCCAATATGAAACTTCCTTTGTCGTAAACCAACCGAAGTTTTAACTTGTTGTCGGGCTCAACCGATCTGCAACAGTCCTAAATAATTCAAGATCAGAACAATCAAACTTTTTAAGCGGAATAGCTTATGAAGAGGCCTGGACGAATTTACTCTAATATTTTTATTCTGAACGCTTTGAGGATATCACAAAGAAGGAAAATTGTCTTTAAACAACAAAACATAAACACTTTGTTTCTGTAGTGTTAGTGTATATACATATATTATAATATTATTTATAATCTAAAATATAACGAAACAAGTTTAAAATAAACATCAGAGGCGGAAATCCTCTCTGTAACGTACTGTGCACTGGAAAATGTAAAATATGATCAAGTCTATATTAATCTTCCATAAAGAACGAGGTCAGGTGGCAGTAGTGGCCATGGAATTTTTATTTCTTTGATAATATTCGTTATCACATTGGACGGTACTACGATGTGTTACCAGTAGTTCCCACTACTTCATTATCGTTGACATTCTTTCGAAGTGATAATAATAGCGCACTCATGAAATTCTTCAACAATTTTATAATTTGTGTATGTTAGAAGCTTAGAAAACTGCACTTTTAAAACTTAATTAATCATAAATGCATGCCCCATTTCTATTTTCCAACCTCATAAGAATTTAGAATTGTACATTGTCAAGAGGATTTTGTAAATGTGTTGTGTACAATAAATTTAAAATTAATTTATTTTAACAGCTTCCTTTTTCCAAATGGAGATACATCCAATGATTTATTCTTTCTATAGTGATCTTGATTTATAATGTCTTAGAATCTGATAGGTGATTACTACCTTCTTCACCGCGGTTGGTGAATAATTTTATATCCGCCTTGTAACGCAGTGTACTTCGGAGGCAGCCTGGCGTTTCGGAGTATACGTATATATATATACTTCATATATGGACTACAACCTCGGGTGGGGGGGGGATGCGGGAGCACGCTGTATCGTAGTTGGTTTAGGCACTGTGCTTCAAGCCGGAAGACCGTGGGTTCGATTTTCGATGGAGTCATTGGATTTTTTCAATTGACCTAATACTACCAGCAGCACTATGGCCCTGGGGTCGACTCAGCCTCTAACAGAAATGAGCACCAGGAATCTTCCTGGGGGTAAAGTGCAGCCAGCTGGCGCTTAAGGCTGACAATCTTACCGCCATCTGTGAGCTGATTGTCTAAGAAACGTGGGAGCCTTGACGTCTCACAACCCTATGATCCTTCACGACTTGTTACAGGGATAGCTTTACGTGTTTACCTACATCTACAGGATCGAACTATAATAAAAATAAGAAATAGGAGAAATGGGCGCGAAACTTCAACCGTGAAGATGGTGACAATATGTCCCTCCTATACGTCGACTTTTCTCCAAGTTACAGTACTCTACACAGTCTCGCCTCAAATCCAACAAAATAAGTTATTCTGTTGGATTGAGATCCTCCCAGCGATTGTTATGAAGAGTTCTGTCTTAAGGGATATAACGACATATAATCAGGTAAAAGCCAACCGAGATTTCGGAGAAATATATCGCCTCCATCTTCAGGGTGGAAGAGTAAGTGTAAGATAAGAGACCATCATAAAGCAGGTAGTCAGCATGGCCAAGATAATGAATTTTCTGCGATTGGGGAAAATATATAGGCCTCAGTTCTGGATATAGAAGAGGACTGTCCTCTGGACGCGATTCTGTGTAGTCCGGTAGAAATTCGTCTACGTTTCGAAGGAAAGTATTGCCTTCATCTTCAACATCGAAGAGTATATAAAATAATCAACCAACAGGAACAAAGCAGGAAACTGAAGTCAATGGAGATGGAGGTAGGAAGTTCCTATTCTACCCGACTACACGGTAACACGTTCAGAAGATACTACTCTTTATAGTGACCGCAGTGAGAATTCCAAAATGGGGGGGGGGAAACATTATTCTGTTTATACTCTTCAGCATCTGAGTAATTGTTTACAGATTCTTGGGGTTTTAATTGCACCTTCTCAGTTGTAGACGCACTACAAAAAAAACCTCCGTGGCTTTAGCCTGCACGCGAACTATACCAACCGAGCGACTGCCGCTTGTCGGCGAAGTTAGTGCCAACTTTAGCGGATAGATGGTGTCTCATGCTCAGCGCAACAAATCACCACGGTCGTTAATCAGTTATGCTCACGAGGCTGAGTGGACCCGTTCCAGACCCGCTACTTCTCAGAAAATCTGGTAGCGCCGGAAATCGAACCCGGGTCCTCTGGAACTGTAGCCAGGAACGCTGACCACTAGACCACAGAGGCGGTCTGTAGACGCACTACAGCGTCTAATAATGAGAAGTTTGTTCATGAACTAAGAGTAGATTACAAATTTAAGGGATCAGTTACAGTCAATTTAAAGGTAGTATCCTGACATTCATCTAGGATTACTGAGGAAAGCCACGATGTCTTTAAAGACAGCGAATTTACTTCCCCCACATAGATTTTGTGATAGAACAAGAATATTTCTACCGGCTTTACAATCTTCTGAGATCTGAGACCGTGTAATTTGGTAAACAGATTGCAACGTTAGACGGAACTTAATACCCTAACCTTCAGGGTAGAAGATAGAGGAAACAGGCTCCTCCGAAACATCGGTACATCTAGCCGATCAACCAGAAAACAGCATCACATTCCATTAGAAACTAGGATCTCATACATATTTACAGACTGTTAACATCTGTATAAATATTTATGTCACTTCCATGATCACTTCACTGTCAACTACCATCACCGTTCCCACCGCTGCCACCAATGTATTTTCGTTATTCTAGAACACATCACGTTTAACTTGTCGTCTCCAAATAAATTCGATTTAAAGTCAGATAGAACTCTTTAACAAACACCATGGCCCACTTGATACTTTTAATTACTAATACGGCCGCCAGACGTCGGAATGTCTCGTGGTAGTCTTGGTGGCAGTGACTGTTGAAGCAGGCGGGGAAAGTCCCTTGTTATTACAAGTATCCGCAGTTGTCGCACAGGGCGATGTTGAGGGCTTCACTTTCTTGGTCGGCATTGCAGGCGGCGAGGCAGAGCTGCTGCGTGTCCCTTCCGCATTGGACCTGTTCGTGACTAATTCCTCCGGTGCATCATTCTCTTCAGTTTCTGGGACTGGAGTCCGTCTTATGGGTAATATCAGGGGTGGCCTGTGTGTTGGAGTTAGGTGATGGAGATGGGGGTGCAGATGTGTGTGCAGAGGGTTTGGCGCACTCCCGTATAGTTGGGAATATAACCACTGTGACGTCGGGGGTAGCAGAGGAGTGTTAAGGAAGAGACTAGCGGCCGCCGCTGCAGCTGCTGCGCTGCTGAAATAAGCTGAGTGCTGTCCACCCCCAGGGTGGTGGTGGTGGTGGTGGTGGTGTAACAGGGGATGAAAATGAGGGTGTGGATGTGCTGTGGGTGCGAATCTTATCGTGGGTGGTGAAGGCGGTGGGGCCTCTAGAGGAGAGGTAGAAGAGGATGATGGAGCATCTTGACCTGTTGGAGTAGGCGTTGTTGTGCCTTCAGGTGTAGGTGAGAGCCGCGGAACTGTTGTAAGCTGTCCCTGCTGTCCCTGTCTCCTGGGTTTGGGGCTCCTGACTGTCCCTGACGCCGGCTGACTGCTGGCTGTGCTGCTGCTGCTGTGACTGGCCACACTAATGCTCATAGTCCCTATGGTCGTGTCGCTGGAGGAGCGGCCCTGGGGTTCCGATACTGTGGAAAGAAAGGTCGCATTAATGCAAGTCCCAGCATTGTCGAAACAGTGCCAAAACTGAAAAAACTTTGTGTTCTAATTACACTCTATTCATTCGTGTATCCTTGCCTAAAAGCTTAGTCTGTATAACGATGGGCTAGGAGATGGAGGGCCGCGGTTCGATTCCGACAGGAACCAAGAGTTTTTTCTCTACTCCACAGCGTCCACAGCAGCTCTGTGGTTCACCCAGTCTCCTATCAAATAGGTACTGGAAGTTGTTTCCGTGGGTAGAGCGACCGGGGCGTGAAGCTGACCACTCACGTCCCGAGATCAAGAATTGTGGAGCTATACCTCATCTCTCTTAAAGGTTTCAGTGGCGTGTTTAATTAATTAAGCAAAAGGACAAATTTACCTTTACCTTCACCTTTTAAAATATTTTTATTGTCCTGTATCTCGCCACTTTATAGCTGAAATATAAGAAAACTAGCCTGGAAAGGCACAGCCAACACATTGCCATCAGTAGTAATTCAAATTTAATTAATTTAATTTTCACCAATATCTCTCCTCAGGCGAGAGGGCGAGCGTATTTTGAACCATTATTATTATTATTGTTATTTTTATAATTATATATAAATTAATTAATGTTCAGGTATACTGAAAAATTGTATTAATATTTTTGTTTGTTTTCTTATTTTTACTCTCTTGATAAACGTATTATTTAATATATAAATGTCCCTTCTTGCCTATCTCTTAAGTTTCATTTTTATATATGTGGATAATTTTCATGTATTATTTTTTATTCTTGTTGTATTACATGCGACTTCTTCCTATTAATTAATCATTCCATCTCTGAATTTGGCTTTATTGCTGTTAAGCGATGAAATATGTTAAATTGATTGAAGTTAAGTGAACTACTTTCATTCTCGCCGTAAGAACTAGCCTACCGCAATAAGCATTCCAGCAACACGCCCAAAGTAAGGAGGATACATTAGCTTGACGGGAACTCCCCGCTTGGTGAGCCGACGCTTGACCCTCCAAGTCGCCGAGCTCGGATCCTACCGCTATGAATGCAGAACAGTACCTGAGGACAGTCTGTTGGGTGAGCTGAGGGGCTGGTCGGGGTTGGTGAGCGCCAGCACATGGGGCGGGAAGTGGGGCGCGTGCAGACCGGCCGGTGCCCCGCAGTGTGGCGGCAGGTAGTGGTGCGCGTACCCGCCGGGCCCTCTCCCGAACGGTCCCCACGGGGGCTCCGTTCCACTCATGCCAAGGTGGTGAGCGATCCCTGCAACAGAGGTAGCAGTCAGTGTATCACCATTTGCAGAATCAATTCAGTTAATTACATCACCGTGCGCCTGTAGAACCAGTTCAGTTCATTGGACCTTAAACAGAACCAGTTCAGTTCATTTTACCTTAAGCAGAACCAATTAGTGTTAATTACATCACCGTGCGCCTGCAGAACCAGTTCAGTTCATTGGACCTTAAACAGAACCAGTTCAGTTCATTGGACTTTAGACAGAACCAGTTCAGTTCATTTTACCTTAAGCAGAACCAATTACTGTTAATTACATCACCGTGCGCCTGCAGAACCAGTTCAGTTCATTGGACCTTAAACAGAACCAGTTCAGTTCATTGTACCTTAAGCAGAACCAATTAGTGTTAATTACATCACCGTGCGCCTGCAGAACCAGTTCAGTTCATTGTACCTTAAGCAGAACCAATTAGTGTTAATTACATCACCGTGCGCCTGCAGAACCAGTTCAGTTCATTGTACCTTAAGCAGAACCAATTAGTGTTAATTACATCACCGTGCGCCTGCAGAACCAGTTCAGTTCATTGTACCTTAAGCAGAACCAATTAGTGTTAATTACATCACCGTGCGCCTGCAGAACCAGTTCAGTTCATTGTACCTTAAGCAGAACCAATTAGTGTTAATTACATCACCGTGCGCCTGCAGAACCAGTTCAGTTCATTGTACCTTAAGCAGAACCAATTAGTGTTAATTACATCACCGTGCGCCTGCAGAACCAGTTCAGTTCATTGTACCTTAAGCAGAACCAATTAGTGTTAATTACATCACCGTGCGCCTGCAGAACCAGTTCAGTTCATTGTACCTTAAGCAGAACCAATTAGTGTTAATTACATCACCGTGCGCCTGCAGAACCAGTTCAGTTCATTGTACCTTAAGCAGAACCAATTAGTGTTAATTACATCACCGTGCGCCTGCAGAACCAGTTCAGTTCATTGGACCTTAAACAGAACCAGTTCAGTTCATTGTACCTTAAGCAGAACCAATTAGTGTTAATTACATCACCGTGCGCCTGCAGAACCAGTTCAGTTCATTGTACCTTAAGCAGAACCAATTAGTGTTAATTACATCACCGTGCGCCTGCAGAACCAGTTCAGTTCATTGTACCTTAAGCAGAACCAATTAGTGTTAATTACATCACCGTGCGCCTGCAGAACCAGTTCAGTTCATTGTACCTTAAGCAGAACCAATTAGTGTTAATTACATCACCGTGCGCCTGCAGAACCAGTTCAGTGTATTGTATCACCATGTACAGAATAGTTCAGTTCATTTTGTCATTAGCAGAACCAGTTTAATTAATTGTGTCACATTGTAGAGAACTATTTGTAGAATTATTTCAGTTAATTGTATCACTGTGTATAGAACTAGATCAGTTCATTATATCACATGCGAAACCTGCCAATTTAATTGTACTGTCATGTAGAGAACCAGTTCAGTTGGTTTTATTGCCGTGTTCAGAAACAGTTCAGGTCATTCTAACATGCGTAAGGCGATTTCAATAAATTGTGTCACCGTGTGCAAAACCAGTTCAGTTTAGCCCAAATCACAGCTTCTAGTTTCCATGCGATTCATTTTAAATGTTTCCCCCTATTACCAAATAGATAGTCTCGTACCCATGTCGCGCTGTCTGACTTCAGTATTCGGCTGTTTCATCATCATCTTCATTGAACTCTTCCGCCTCCAACGATGAACTCAGAATTTGTCCTCCTTCTCGTGTCCTTGATTTTAGCGGTAACATCTGTTCACATTGTCTTTCCGGGTTTTGAAACCTATTACATTATACACTCGTTATAAGGGACCCGGATATAACGGATTTCATATATACAAGAAACGGACAAACACTGGCTGTGTAAAATTGTCAATTTGTAGATATGTTGAGACATTATGAAAGAGTTTAGTTAGAAAACTAAGTAAAATGGAAGGCCGCACCATAGCTCAAGCGGTTAGTCGCTGGCTTCCCACCGCGGCGGCCCGGGTTCGATCCCCGGTGTGGTCAAGTGGGATCTGTGGTGGACAAAGTTGCGCTGGGGCAGGATTTCTCCGAGTACTTCAGTTTCCCCTGCCAACCTTCATTCCACTAATTGCTCCACAGTCACCCTCACCTATCATCTGGGGCTGGTACAGTAGGCCAGAAGTGGCCGCAGTACAAAGGACTTAGCCCCACCCCACTAGCAATAAAAAAAAAGTAAAATGGAAAAGTACCCCAATATAATAGCACTGACGTAATCACACTATGTGTTTCTGTTTATTGTGTGTGCGGGTTATGTATCCTACGGTGTACTTCCATGAAAACCCGTTCACTCGGTTATTGCGGACTTCGTCGACAACGGACATCATTAGTCCGTTATAACGAGGGGTTACTGTAGATTCATTTCCATTTGTTTTGTCTGAGATAATAAACATATTATGATGTGACGGCTGGAAGCCGGATGATGGAGCCGGAGCGGATGTCCATTGTTGGGCAACGGCTCGGAAATCACGTTTCCGCTACAACGAATAGCAACGGATGAGTCGTTGCCAGGAAGTAAGTTGCTAAACACAAGATTCACATGATGACAAATATAATAAAGGAGGAAAACTAAGTGTTCGATATGATGACCTACATTCGGACTGCGTGGCAGTTGTAAAAGGGAGTTCAGTGCATTCAATTTCAGGAGAGATTCTTCATACAGATTCGTCAGACTGAAGTCGTTCAGAAATACATCAATATGTCAGCTGTTATATTTGTCTGTAATTGTAAAGAAGAGCCAATAAACCAAATTATCAAATACAGAACATATTATTATTAGTCACGCTAACCCCTAATATGTGACAACATTTAGGAGGCGCGCGTTAGCGTAGTTGATTGAGGCACTGTACTACAAGCTGAAAGGTCACGGGTTCGATTCCCGATGAGGTCATTGGATTTTTTTAATTGACCTAATCCTTCCAGTAGCACTACGGCACTGGGGTCGACTAAGCATCTAACAGAAATGAGTACTAAGAATCTTCCTGGGGGCAAAAAGCGGCCGGCACGTAAGGCTGACAATTTTGCCGCCATCTGTGAACCGATTGTCTAGAAAATGTGGGAGCCTCGATGTCTGACAACGCTATGGGTCTCCACGGTCTGTTACAGGGACAGCTTTACCTTACCTTTATCATACATATTGAATTAAGACTTAAATTTAAGAATGTATCTGAGTTTCTTTCAAATTGTGATCACTTCTGTGGTCTAGTGGTCAGAGTTCCTGGCTACAGATCCAGAGGTTCGGGTGCGATTCCCGGCGTTATCAGATTTTCTGAGAAGTAGTGGGTCTGGAACGGGTCCACTCAGCCTCGTGAATATAATTGATGATCTATTTCAAGGAAATAGCGGCTACTGTTTAGAAAACCGAAATTTACGGCCGTGGGGATCCGTTGCGCTGACCACGTGACACCCGCTATCCGCTTAAGTTGTCACTAACTTCGCCGAAAATCGGCGGTCGCTCAGTCGGTATAGTTCACTTGCGGATTAGAAACACGGAGTTTTTTTTTGCTTTGTTTTTTCTTTCAAAGTGTTCAGTGCTTCAACTGTAGCTACTTGTTTTTCCAAACATCTCACTTGACCGGCGATACCTTGCGATTAGTGACGTCACTGCTGTCGAAGTGGGGGGCAATACTTTCCAGTGGTGTACCAACTGGTTCGCCTCTTGTCCTTTGCGCGGTACGAAGAATGGGGTGTTGGGGAGTGAAAAATATTTTTAAGTTGTAAATGTCGCTTTGTCTGCGGCGCCCTTTAAGGGTGTCGAGAGGAAAGGGCTGATAATGCTAATTACATACAACACGACACTCAAAGGGTAGAGCCAGTGAACAGGACACGAATCCTACCTTAGCCTGAAACACTCGATACATTTACTGAAGAGACAGCGTGTGTTGCCGCAGTATTATTCGAGAGCCCCTTATTGTGGTTTCCGGACGAAACATGACGCGTCATTTTAAATTTACCCTGATATATATATAAGACAGTATTTTGACTGTAGTTTTGTGCTGGGGTGTAATTTCTCTGTCTAATTCAGGCTCTACAGCCCTTTTGGACCTTGGCTGCATTTTCAGTTTCTTAATCCATACACAGTCCGTAGGACTCCTTGGACGGGGGATAATAAGCCCGTCGCAAGGCCGCTACCTACACACAGAACAACACAAACGCAGAATAAACGCACACAGACAACCATTCCTCGAATGGAATTCGAACCCACGATCTCAGCTTTCTAGCGGGTGAAGAAGGTTCATGCCTTAGAGCGCGCGGCCACTGCAATTGGCGAGTGTGAAACTTGGTCTCTGATATTAAGGGAAGAACATAGGCTGAGCGTATTTGAAAACAGGGTAAGGTAAACAAAGGTAATGCCCCTGTGCTTAATTAAGAACCACGCCATGAAGACGTATAAATATTTTTTTTTATTGCTAGTGTGGTGGGAGTAAGTTCCTTGTACTGCGGCCACTTCTGACCTATTGTAACAGCCCCAGATGATAGGTGAGGGTGATTGTGGAGCAATTGGTGGAATGAAGATTGGCAGGGGAAACCGAAGTACTTGGAGAAAACCTACCCCAGCGCCACTTTGTCCACCACAAATCCCACTTGACCAGACCTGAGATCGATTCCGGGCCGCCGCAGTGGGAAGCCAGCGACTAACCATTTGAGCTATGGCGCGGCCCTAAGACGTATAAATAGCCCCGTAATTCTTGATCTTGGTACTAGACAGAAGTGAGTGGTCAGCTTCATTCCCGAGGTAAGAGTTCCTGCTGCCTATTGGACAGAAGGCTGTGTGGGTCACAGGGACGGTCTGGACGACTTGGAGAGGAGATAAATCTCCTCTCTATCGGGAATCGAATCCCGGTCACCCAACCTATAGCCCATCACTAAACCCGACTGAGCTGTCTAGACTCCTAAAATAACAGGATGTTGGAGAAAACTGCATATTGAGGCGCTTCATAACTTGAATCCTTCTCCAAAAATTATT